CCCTTTTTTTTTTTTTTTTTTTTTTTTTTTTTTTTTGCTTTTTGGTGAGGCAGTCTGGATTAAGTGACTTGCCCAAGGTCACACAGCTAGTAAGTGTCAAGTGTCTGAGGCTGGATTTGAACTCAGGTCCTCCTGACTCTAAGGCCAGAGCTCTTAAGGCTGCCTAGCTGCCCCTCAGTCTTCCCATCTTGATTGGCAGTGGGAGTATTATTCCAAGTACAAAGGGGCAGGATGAAAGGACTACCTAACCCATCCAAGAAAACCAGGAGGAGTTGACATGAGCAAAATAATCTTAAACCAAGAACTGAGGCTGAAAATATGAGCAAACAGAAGGAAATACCATATACTGAAAGAATTTCCATGAATTGAGAAAAAGCTAAAGGTAAACCCGGAAGAGGGTCACTCTACAAAAACTGCAAATAGTTTCAGAAACCCAAAAAGGCAGTGGCATGAGGGCAGTGCTAGGCCACAAGACCACAAGGATAGCCAGAAAAATGGAAGTGAACTGGAAAATGAAATTATAAATACAAAGAGAGATTAGGAGAGGAAATTTTTGAAAGCAAAATAAATAGCTCAGAATAGAAGGTGCAAAACCTTACCAAAGTAGTTGACTCCCTGAAAAATAGAATGAAGCACACAGAACTCAGTAAACTCTAGGAGACAACAGGAAATATTAGAATAAAATCAAGAGATTAATAAAAGAGAAGAAAATGTAAGGTATCCACTAGCAAAAACAAAACAAAAACCTGACATGGAAAACAGGTACAGAAGAGATCATTTAAGTCTTATCAGGCTCTCTGAAAAATATTACAAAACCAAAGATTTGAAAACAGTGTTTTATTTGTTTCTATATATATATTTTATTTCCCCTCAATTGCATGTTAAAACAATTTTTTAACATTTGTTTTTTTAAAGTTCTAAAATTTGAGTTCCAAATTCTTTCCCTCTCTCCTTCCCTCCTCTCTTACTTCCTGAGACAGTAAGCAATCAGATATAGGTTATACATGTGGAATCATGTAAAACATTTCCATATTAGTCATTTTGTCCAAGAAGATTCAAATAAAAGAAAAAGAATGAAAGAAAGTGAAAAATAGCATGCTTCAGTCTGTATTCAAACAGTATCAGTTCTTTCTCTGGAGGTGGATAGTATGATTCATCATTAATCCTTTGGAATCGTCTTGGATCATTGCATTGCTGAGAATAACTAAGTCCTTCACAGTTCTTCATCATACAGTATTGCTGTTACTATGTATAATATTCTGGTTCTGTTCACTTCACTATGCATCGGTTCATATAAGTCCAGGTTTTTCTGAAATCATTCTGTTTGTCATTTCTTCTTTCTTTCTTTCTTGCTTTCTTTCTTTTTTTTTTTTTTTTGGCAATTGGGGTTAAGTGACTTGCCCAGGGTCACACAGCTAGTAGGTGTTGGGTGTTTGGTCTGAGGCCGGTTTTGAACTCAGGTCCTTCTGACTTCAGGGCCGGTGCTCTATCTACTGCGCCACTTAGCTGCCCCTGTTTGTCGTTTCTTATAGCACAGTGGTATTCCATTCCAATCATATACCACAGCTTGTGTAGCCATTCCCCAATTGATGGGCATCCCTTCAATTTCCAGTTCTTAGCCACCATAAAAATAGCTGCTATAAACATTTTTGTATAAATAGGTCCTTTTCCCCTTTTGTTGATGTCTTTGAGATATAGACCTAGCAGAGGTATGGCTGGATCAAAGGGTGTGCACAATTTTATAGCCCTTTGGGCATCGTTCCAAATTGCTCTCCTGAATGGTTGGCTCAGTTTACAACTCCACTAACAGTGCATTAGTGTCCCAGTTTTCCCACATCCCTTCCAACATCTGTCATTTTCCTTTTTTGTTATATAGCCAATCTGATAGGTGTGAGGTGGTACCTCAGAATTGTGAAAACAGTATTTTTAAAAAATCCTAACAGAAAACTGCTCAGATCTATTAGAAACAGAAGACAAAGTGAAAGAATCCACTGATCATCACCAAGTCTGGTCAGCTGACAGGGTGGGGAATATGCTGTATTACAGTCTTTTATAACTCATCTTAAATAACTCATTTCCCTTTACAACCTTGAATGTAACTACACATGTCTAATTCAAGTGACGTGTTTTCCATTCAGTAAATGGCATGCTGTCATTTTAAATGTCTTTCCAGGAGGTGGACAAGAACATTGTCAACAGGTTGTACCTGTCCTTCATTCTCTATGCGTTGCTTAAAGAGACCAATGTCTGGAGTGTATCAGAAAAGTTTAATATGTCTCGAGGATATGTACAAGCCCTTTTAAGTGGAGCTGCCTCATTCTCTTCTTGTGTACTACATTTCTGTGAGGTGATTATGATTATAATTATTGTTAATTGTGGGCCTGTAATTTTATTGGATATGGATATGGGTAACTTCCAATGTGAACACTCCCTCTACCAATGCAGATTGGTAACTGTTGTATACCTTATGGGATTAGAGAATTGCCTGGAGTACTGGAAGGTTAAGTGACTTTGCCAGGGTCATACAACTAACAGATGTTACTGGGACTTGACTCCAAGCCTTTCTCATTGTAAGGCTAGCTTCGCTATGTTATGCTGCCTCTTGAGATAATTAAATGTTTAATAAATAATATGGAGTGCCATCTTGTTTTCTTGTTCTACTCAGTTGACTGGGGAAGAGAAAAAAGGAAGCAGCATAGAAACAGGCAGCCTTATTTAAAATGTTATTGGAATAGTCTAGACAGTCACTAATGAAAGTCTTTTCTAGGGTATTAGCATTCAGAATAGATAAGAGTAGAAGAAGATAAGCAGTGTTGCTTAGATGGAATTATCATGACTTGGTAAATGATTGGATAAAGGAGGTGAGAAAGATAAATCAAAAATTCAAATAATCAAAAGGTTTCAGTCCTAGATTACAGTGCCAGAGGCGGGAAAACTGAAATATCGAGGAGATTTCCTAGAAAATGAATAAGCTTGATTTAGGACCTAGGAATATAGATTTAGAGATAGATGAGACCTTATATATCACCCAGCCCAACTCCCTCATTTTACAGATGAAGAACCTGAAACCCAGAGAGGCTTTGAGACTTAAAAGATGAGGTTTTCTAGTTCATATTTGCAGATTGTATTGTGTGTCTTTCAGCAAGCCAAACTCTCCAGGGTCTCAGGAGGGGAGGTCCACAGTCGCTCAAAAGAGATTGACCAGGCAGTCCACCCTGGTGAACCCAAGTGGATAAAGAATGTATGCTGTCATAAACACCTGGGTGACATGAAGGGCTTCATGTGGGTGGATTAGAGCTAGGAATTTCAGTCCAAACACAGAAAGAACACGTGTTGTACAGATCATGGCATGTGGTTGGATGGGTCACACAGTGAGTTCCTGTGTCATCAGCGTGTGGATCTTGGGGAGGTGCAGCAGGAGAACAGTGAGCTGGACTCAGAGTTGAGCAGAAGAAGGGGATCTCCAGGGCTACGTTTGAGGAGCTGCATTAAAGAGACAGTTCTGTGTCTCCAAGCTGCTTCTTTACATAAAAGTCCATCTTTTTCCCAAAGAGAAAAGGGGGGGGCGGAGATGGAGAAAGGAAGGAAAGAGGAAAGAAAAAGGCAAAGAGAGGAAGAAGGAGAAAGAGGGCGAGAGAGAGAGTACGCACCTATCTTTTGAAAAACAGGAAAGCACTTTTAGTGTAAGTAGGGAATAGGAGATGAACAACCTATAAATTTCGAAAGTTCCCACAGAATGTCGAGAGGCATAGAAGAGAGCCCTGGCACTTGGGCTGGATTCTTTGTGAAAGAACAGTGGCGGGTGGCAAGGTGGCACAGGGATTGATTTGGCCAGGGTCACACAGTAAATAACTGAGGCCAGATTTGAATTTAGGTCTTTCTGATTCCAAGTCCAAGACTCTTATCCACTGTACCATCTGGTTGCCCTCAGATCATATTATGATACTGAGCTTGGAGATATATGGAAAGCAAAGTTTTTAAAACTTCTACATCATTTAAGCATAACTTTAAGTTATTTTAGTTTATATCTTCTTCCTTTTCCCCAGCCCAAGCCCTCCCTCTGGATCCCCAGATTCTCAGAAGTTTTTTGGTTTGGGAAATTCATTTGTAAAGAATCCTGAGTTGTGCCATTATCCCTGGTTTAATGATCATTCATGGGACAGCCTGGACCATACTGCCTGACATTTGATGTTAACCTTTCATTACCGAAGTTTTCTTCACTTTGTCTTTCTGCAGGAGCTTGAGGAGTTTTGGGTTTATAGAGCCCTCTTGACAGAACTTACCAAGAAGCTGTCTTACTGTGTGAAGGCAGACCTGGTCCCTCTCATGGAAGTAACTGGAGTTTTAGAGGTCAGTGGCAGCTTACTTTCCTAGTCCAGGCCGTGTCACCTAAGACACAGTGCATACATCAGTCTTTGGTATTTGGTGAAGTCTTATCACAAGGCAGGTAACTTTGGCCTCTTGTGTAAGGCTGTTTGGGAAGTGAGGCTTGGCGAGGAGCTCCTTCAAGTACAATTGTTGCTTTACACGTGGCCTCACAGCAGCTCTCTGTCAGTCTGGGGGAAGCTGTGGTGAGAAACAATCCTTAGGACAATAGGAGCAGTGATCCCTATACATGTAGATATTCTCTCTTCCCTGTCCGTATGACTGCCACCATGATACAGAAGTCTTACTTCAGGATACCTCGCTAAGATTTGTATACATTTTACAAATTTTAAGTTTATTTATTTTTTTGTTACTTTTTAAGTTCTGAATTGTCTTTCTCCCTCCCCCTCACTTGAGAAGGCCGCCATTTGACACACATATGTGTAAAACCATACTATGCATACTTCTATTTATTATTTCCTTCTCTGGAAGATGGATAGCATCTTCCTTCATAGATACTTTGTAGTTGATTTGAGTATTTATAATCAGAATAACTTAGTCGTCAGTTTTTTTTTTTTTTAAGGCAGTTGGGGTTAAGTGACTTGCCCAGGGTCACACAGCTAGTAAGGTGTCAAGTGTTTGGTCTGATGTCAGATTTGAACTCAGGTCCTCCTGACTTCAGGGCCGGTACTCTATCCACTGCGCCACCTAGCTGCCTTCAAACAGTATTGCTAGTACTGTATACATTTTCTTAGTTCTGCTCATTTTCCTCTTCATTATTTCATGCGAGTCTTTCCATGTTTTTTCTAAAATGAACCTGCTCATCATTTCTTACAGAACAATAGTATTCTATCACTATCATATACCACAGCTTGTTTAGCCATTCCCCAATTGATGGGCATCCCTTCAATTTCCAGTTGTTTGCCACCTCAAAGAGAGCTGCCGTGAATATTTTAGAACATAAAGGTTCTTTTCCTGTTTCCCTAATCCCCTTTGGAAATGTTTACATTTTTAAGGAAGTTAAAAAAAAATCCGCACCTGTTTCACTAACTTTGCCTTCTAAATATATCCATTAGAGTTTGATCTTAAAAGGTTTAGGGACTGACAAAAATTAGATGGCTCTTGGGGAACCCAGTGACTGCATTTTTAGAAGGAATGGGTTGCAAAGTTGTGCTTGGGGACATGTAAATAGACTTCTCATCTGAGTACTTCAGTGTGTCTCTCATTCCAGAATGTTAATTGGAATCAAACAATCCAAATTCACTTTAAAACCCAAAAGCTTGGTGCTTGTCTTTTTCTATTTACTTAGTTTATTTCTAATTTCTGTATCATATTTCTTTGCTGAAAAATTGTCCTTTGCTAACATATTTGACTTTTCACTAAACTTAAATTATGATCTTCATGATTTTATAACATTTTTACAGTCCAGAGCAAAACAGTTATACGATGCGGGCTATAAAACTGTCGCACATTTAGCTAATGCAGACCCCGAAGTGCTGATAAGAACTATTGATCATTTATCACGACGTCAGGCCAAGCAAATTGTTTCATCGGCAAAGGTGAGCAAAATTTAGTATTTTTTTTTCCAAATACAGCCTACATTGTTAACTCATGTTTTAGTCATCAGTGTTTGATATTTTATATTAGCATTCATGTCTCAGAATAGCTACCATTCATATAGAACCCTTGCTGAGGAGATGGAGTGAGGTACTTATTTTTTAAAAAACATTTTTCAGAAAATAATAGAATCTTAAAATTGGAAGACACTTTAAAAGCTCATCCACGTCAACTTTCCGCTTAGTGTCGATGTCTCTGATACATCTTCTGCTTGAACACAGGGAGCTTAGCATCCTTATGGGAGAGCCCACTTCCTTCTTGTACACTTTACCTACTTTTATCTTCTGGAACTCTCCAAAACAGTGCAACTCTTCTTCCCAGCATTAAACCCCTCAAATATTTGAATACAGCAGCTAGGATTTTTCTCTTCTAGACCATACGTCACCAATTGCTTTGGCTGTTCTCTAGAAGACAAAGGTTTTCCTTTGCCATTGTATTTGCCCATTTCTGGAGACATTCCATTTTGTTGTTGCTCCTGTTGAGGTGGTTGGAGCTCAGACATTACTGGAGGACTCCACATGCCGACCAGGGGAGAGTGCAGGGGGCTATTACCTGCCTCATTATTTTTATTTTATGTTTAGCCCAGCCTGTGATTATAATGTTGTTGGGTTTGGGGTTTTTTTTGTTTGTTTTCACAGCCATTCTGTCACATTTTTGACTCATGTTGAGCGTGTGCCAGCTAAAATCTGCAGGAGTTTCTTGTGTGATTCAATTTTTGAGCCTAAATATAGGACTTTACATTTATTCCTGCTGAACTTCATTTTGTCTGTTGAATCCATTGTTCTAACCTGTCAAAAATTGTTTTTTACCTGGATCACATCATTCAGCAAGTTAGCTGTCCTTTCCTTTGTGTCATCTGCAATTACGATGAGAATGCCATCAATTTTTCATCCACGTCAGTGATAAAAATGTTAAATAAGTAAAGAGCCCTGTGGTGTCTCACCACTTTCTTCGAATTTAATTTAATTTAATTTTCAGTTTTAATTTAACTTGAGTGCAATTATTTTAACTTACGTATGGGTTTTTTTGGGTATAGTTATTTTAATTTAATTTGGGGATGATTTAGTCATCCAAACAGTTAGGATTCCACCAACTGAACTGTTTTCCATCTCGCATCTTAAAATCAGGGAAATCATGAGATAGAGGGATAAAGGCTAGAACTGTGATTTCACTGGTTTAGAGAACTCCTGAAAGGGGACACTTACTCTACCTTCTCTGCATTTTATGATGTTAAAGAGTTGCCTGCAGTACTCAGGTTAAATTGGTCATACAACCAGAGTGTGCGAGAGGTGAGACGTGAACCTCGATCTTCCTGGGCCAATGCTATCTGTGGAACAGTGACTCCACACTACCTCTCATGAGATAGTCTTGTTAAAATTAGGATATTCTGACATTTGTCCATCTCAAGTCTTAAAGCATGTATCTCTTTTCATAATTTCTTAAACACTACCCAGAATGGTTCCACAATCATCTTCGTAAGTTATTTCAGTTTTGTTGTTTCATGCTTGAAATTCATCTGAAGACTTAAATCTCTTTAAAGCAGCTAAGTGCTTTCTTACTTTCCTCATAAGAGATGTAATTTTATCTTAAACATCGTTGTTCTACCCTTTCCATTTTAAAGATGAATGCCCTTGAAGGAGAAGAAAGAAGTAAAGAAAAATTGAGTAATTTTGCTCTTTTTTCTGTGATTCTTTTCAACATTTCACCATCTCCCCCAGGCAGTGTGCGTTCCCCCTTTTTCTAGGTCTGGGTTGCAAACATAGCTTGAAATTTGTTGTACTTATCAAATTTCACAAGTTCAGCTGCTTGTGGGGTTTGCTTTTTCTGAAACCATTTCTGGAGGATTGTGACACTCTCTTCTTGGCTTCTGGTTTTAAGTATTCTTTCCTCTTTCAGCAATTCAGGTTCATTCAAATCCTCTGAGTAGCTGCATAGTTTCTTTTGATGCATTCCTCTTTTTTTTTCTCCTCACTTGGAACATTTATAATTAATTGATTATTATTTCATTTTGGAGCCATCATCCTGAGCTTTTTGCTATCAGATCACACCTCTTTTTCTAATGTCTTGAAATTTGCTTTTTGGCAAGACTAAGGTATACAGAGGCCTGTGTTATAGGATGAATGGTGCATTTTGATTATAGGCTCTAGATATTAATATCTTTGCCACTAACTGTTGACTTTGAGCAAGTAAAATTTCCCCATTGGTAAATTAAAGGTTGTATCGGTGGATGTTTAAGATCTGTTTCAGCCCTGAATCTCTGATCCTGTGGCTGACCATGGCAGGCCTGCCTTTCCTTTGTTATGACCCAGCCTTCAAATGTTAGTTGAAATTTTTATAAAATCTCCTTAGGTGTGATAGATAAAATGATTTTTAAGTAGAAAATTCTTCAACAAAAAGTTATCTGCACCTATTCAAGCTTTATGTACTTTTGACAAATAAATAAAATGATTAGCTAAATGACTTCAGCTAAATGCTTCAACTTAATTTACTTTATCCATTTATTTTTAATTGCCACTTTCTTAATCTTAAAATCCATTCTAACGTCTGAGTTACTATTTTCATCATCTTTCAGAGAATTAGTTTTTCTAAAAGGTTGTGTTTAAAATGCTGACATTAATATGTCAAAAAAGATGAGCATTTTTTGTTCTCCACATTTGGATTTTCTGTTGTAGATGCTATTAAATGAAAAAGCAGAAGCTCTACAGGAAGAAGTGGAAGACCTGCTGAGGCCGCCCCCTGATACTCCTGGGACTGTAGCCCCATCCTCCAAGAACGATGAACTCACCCAGGACGTTCCCCATTAGTTTTTTGTTTTTTTTTTAATGAATGTGTGTAGTATTAAAATATACATTTTTACTACGCCTTTTTCAAATGTGGTTGTCATTTGAGTATACCTCTCATCTGTATTATTGTAATAGCCACATAACTCACCTTCCTGCCCCCAGTCCCTGCTCCTTCCTGTGTGTCCAACACAGTACTCCAGAATAACCTTACCAAATATGATATCTGGTCTTCGCTTCCACTGATCAGATGCCTCCACGGCCCCTTTTTGCTCACCAAATAAAAGACATATTCCTTTCTTATTCAGGGCTTTCCATAATCTGATCCTAAACTAGCCTAATCTCCTATTGTGGGAGATTATCAGTTAATATTATTCTATGCATGCCCTACATTTCAACCAAACTCGGTGAACTGTCATTTCCTGAACATGGCCTGTGTTTTTCCACCTTTTCACCTTTGCTCAAGCCAATTCCCTCTCTCTGGAATATTGTCTGCCCATCATCCTTTAATATGTAGTTGAAATGACATCTCTTCCCTGAAGAGTAAGTCCCTCAGTGAAGCATTTTTGTCAGTGAAATTATTTGTACGTATGCCTTTATTATCTCCTCTGTTAGACTGTAAGCTGCTTCAGGACAGGGACCACACATACCATACTCATCTTTGTCTCCTATTCAACAAGTGGAAAGCAACAAAACTCTAGTATTTCTTACATTTATCACTATATGTATGTAGTTGTTAGACATGTTATATTTTCTCTTTCACTGCTAAACCTATAGGAAAAGCAGTCTAGCCTATTATCAACATTTTCTCACAACCTGCTCACTCTTCAACTCTGTGCAGCCTGGCTGCTGTCATGACCAGTCTATTGAATATGTCTCAGCTGATCTCAGTTCCTCAATCTGCTCATTTCCTGTGACCTCTGTCCACCCCACCTCAGCCACACACAAAGATGGCCATAGGTAAGATCTTGCCATCACTCACCAAATGTACTGCTTCCTTGTTCAAGAATTCCAAAATCCCTTTATCCAACCATAATCTATTGGCTTTCCATCTCTCCTTCTGCCTTCTTTTACTAAACCCTATTCTTCACCTATACTGTTACATCTGATCCTTTGACCTATGAATTCTCTCCCAGGCCATCTCTCCTTCACTCCACAGTGTCCTCTTGAGGCACTGCCTCTCCTTATTTCAGCAATTGTACCCTGCCAAACCTCAGCCTTGGATTACTTCTACATACATCCTGCCGATTAAAGATGAAGAAAATCACATAATTGTTGTGATTGGGTTCATTACAGATTGATGTTGCACAACCCCATGGACCCTTACTGCTACTAGGCAATCCTACTATACCTCCCTCATCAATTCACTATCCCATTCTCCATAACAACTTTTCCAAACCTTTTCTTCCTCCTTAAATGGCTCCCTCCTCTCTCTCAGCTGAGAACCTTGTCTCATATTTTGCAGAGAAAATTAAGGCCATTCACCTTGAGCTCCCCATTCCCTTCTTCATCACCTATCACTTATGTGTCTTCTGCCCACTATCTCTTTCATCTCTGTCTCACATGATGAGGTGGACTTACTCCTCACCATGGCTAACGTTAGCCCCTCTTCCTTCTCAAACAATCCTATTCTATCCCATCTCCAACAGATTGTCCCCTCTGTCATCTGCTTTATACCTTTCAATCTCTACGTCTACTGGCACCTTCCCTACTGCCTACAAACATGCTCATGTTTCCCTCATCCTCAGAAATGACTCACTTGATCCTTCCTCCCTACTCTCATCCTATATCTCATTTGCTTTTTGTGACTAAAGTTGAAAAAGCTATCTACAATATATACCTCCACTTCTCTTGCTCTCTTCTTCTGAATTCATCATTTCACGAAAACTGCTCTCTCCAAAGTTACCAGTGATCTCTTAGTTGCCAAATCTAGTGGCCTTTTCTTAATTCTCATTCTTCTAGACCTCTCTGTAGTCTTTGACATTATACCCCCTACTCAAATCAATCAACATTTACTCAGTTCATTGTGATTTAATGGGTATCGGTGATTTTAGTAGTGAATTATGTAGAATAGGATTAAAATTAAGTTATGTATGTTAATACTGTTAGGATAAGAGTTGTGAATAATTCGCTCACCTTGTATTGATGATTGTTACTTATATATATATATCAGCTAGATTTAAATTATTAGTTAGAAAAGTAATAAGAATATTATTGCTACAATCTTGCCTCTTTCCCTCCACCCACACCCGGGTAATGTGTGTAATAAGGTTCATTTGCTGGGGCAGTACCCCCTCACTCCTGTGAATCACTAAATCGGTGACCTTTGCTTCAGACCCACTACTTCCTTGGACCCTAGGATAATGTTGGTCAAACACTAGCATCTTATGACTTATATAAAGTCCTGAGATATTGTTGAAAGGGTCTTATGACCTTTTGAAAGCCCCTGCTGAGATGACCTGGAGTTAATGACCTGTGCAAGGCCTGTTGACAAAGTGGTTGCGATTGATGGACATTTCACTTAACCAACCTTAAGATTTCTATACTTCTGGAATTGACCAGTCAGTGAATTATAAAGCTCTCTATTTTTAGTGCTCTCCCAAATGTATAAAAGTAGATAGTACCCGTAGTGAGGAGTCCCTGATTTGAGGATCTTGGGCCCAGTTAATCAAGATCCACCTCTATCCCTAATAAATTGAATATGCTTGGAGACTTTTATTACAGATTGGAATTTTATGGCCCATACTTCCCAGGGTGGTTATGAGGATCAAATCAGGAAAAATAATTGTAAAGTGCTTGGCACATAGTGAACACTGTGTAAATGTTAGCTGTTATCATTATTAATTACCTTCTCCTCCTTAATACTCTCTAGGTTTTTGGGACAGCATTCTGTCTTGGTTCTCTGCCTACCTATTTGACCGTTCCTCAGTCTCCTTTGCTGTATTTTCATGCAGATGAGAACTGTAGGTGTTCCACAAAGTTCAGTCCTGGGTCCTCTTCTCTTCTCTCTATAGTACTTTACTGGATGATTTCATCAGCCCCCATGCATTTAATTACCATCTCTATGCTGATGATTTTCAAATCTACCTATCCTCCCCGAAACTGTCTATTGAACTCCAGCTGCCTATCAGATCTCAGACTGATTGTTCTGTAAACAACTTAAACTCAAAATGTCCAAAACTGAACTCATTATCTTTCCTGCTAAACTCTTCTCTCGCTCCCTCTTACCTTTGCTATTACTGTAGAGAGTAACTCTGTACTCCTAGTCCCTCAGGCTCACAACCTAGGAGCCATCTTGATTTCTTCACTATCTCTTACTCCCCATAGCCAATCTATTGCCAATGCTTGTCAGTTTCACCTTTGCGACATCTCTCATGTACATCCCCTTCTCTCCTCCGATACTGTCACCTCTCTGGTGCAGATCCCTATCACCTCGTGCCTAGACTATTGCAGTAGCCTGTTGGTGGGTCAGCCTGCCTCAGATTTTTCTGCACTCTAGTCTGGCCTCCATTCAGCCAACACAGTGATTTTCCTAAGATGCAGGTCTGAGCATATCATTCACCGTTTCTCCCCCCTCCTGTACCTCACTAAATTCCAGTGGCTTCCTATCACCCCCAGGATCAAATACAAAGCCCTCTATTTGTCATTCAAAGCCCTTTATAGCCTAGCTCCCTCCTGCCTTTCCAGTCTTCTTATACCTTACTTCCTGTCGCTTACTCTGAAACAGTGACATTGGCCTCCTGGCTGTTCCCTTAATGAAACACTATATATCTCAGCTCTAGGCATTTGCTCTGGCTGTCCTTCATGCCTAAAATGCTCTCCCTTCTCATCTCTACCTTCTGGCTTCCATGTCTTTCTTTAAGTCTCAACTAAATTCCCGTCTTCTGCAGGAAACCTTTCCCAACGCTGCTTATTCCTAATACCTTCCTATCTTAATTATGTCCTATTTATCTGTGTTTGGCTTGTTTGTACATATTTGCTTGTTGTCTCCTCCATTAATTGTGAGCTTTTTGAGGGCAAGGACTGTCTTTTACCTCTTTCTTTATCCCTAACACTTAGCACAGTGCCTGGCACTTAGTAGGCACTTAATGTCTGTGGACTGAACAACCAAGGTCAGCAGTGACTTGGAAATCATCCTAATTACCCATTCCACTGTTAATTTAATCGTCCTCCTCCTCTTCTCCTTTCTTGAATTCTGTAACACTACTCTTTGACTCTCCCCCCATCTTTCTGACAGCATCTCCTTTTCTTTCTTCTTTTCCAAAGTGTAGATATCCTTCAAGTTGCTGTCCTTGGCTTTTTGTCTATAGATTTATTTCCGTTGTAAATTTCATCTAATACCATGTTCATAAGCTACACCTGATTCGGGCTGGTCCTCTAATAAGTTAGGTGTGATATTAGAATAGAATGAGATATTCATAGGTCACTAAATGATTAACAAAAGATTTCCTTGGTCATAACAAGGAAAGGATGTGCACTGAAGTTACCATATTGCGTCATCTGAACATGGCTTCTAATCTTGGCCATGTTCAAAACAAAAGCTTCATCAAAACTTTAAGTATTCAGGAAACCAAGAAGCAATATCAGGAACCTAAATCATTCATTTTATTCAATAAAGGCTTGAGGGAGAATTTTAGTACCTCTCAAGACTAACCTTTGTGGGATAAGACCTTAGGAAAAGCTAGCCTAGCCTACCTGGTAGGACCCTAGCAAATAGTGTTCTCATCACATGTGGCTTTGATTATTACCTTTGTGTAACTTATGTTCATTGTCTTTTTCAAGTCATTCTAACCCCTCCTCTGATCTTTACACCTATTTTTCATCTGTCTGCTAGACCGTCTTGGCTAGATGTTTTCCACCACTTCAAATTCAGCATGTTCCAGTCTGAATATTCTCCACTGACTTCTCACTGTCATGTAACTCTCACACCCCATCTACTGACACCAGCTTGTGAGTCTGCTGTGCCCCTAAATCTCTTGGAATACCATGAAACCCTAGGGTCTCCATCAGTGCACCAACAAAGCTAAACTACACAAAAGAACTCTCCTCCAAAGAGAATTAATAGGCCATCAGAATATAGAGTGAAAACATTACTCTCAAGTGATGGTAGTATTTCAGGCTAAGGCAATGAAATCTTGCTCTAGATACTGATGCACTTAAATCCAACTCAGTCATAAAAGGACATTGATAATGTCCACTTGAGAGTGCCAGTTGATGTTCAGATTTTGCCTTCAATGTGAATCCTGAAAACCCTGCAGAGAAACATATATAAACTTTAGGAACCTTGATGTTTACCTAAAAAAATTTCATCTATTGCTTAAGGTGGAATACATTTGGTTTCTGTTGTTCTCAGTTGATACAGTTGCTCCATTTCAAGCTAAGGCAATGAAATTATTCTAGGGAACCAAGTTATTTAAACCCAGTGTATGTATATAAAGAACATTGATCCAGTATTCAGGGGACAGTTTCGTTTCTTGTTAGGTTATTGACCATAACTGGAATCCTGAAAACCCAACAAGAGAAAACCATTATTACACAGACAGACCTAGATATGTAATTAGAATTTTAATACATTCATTGAGATTTGTGCATGGTCTAAAAATAAAATTTGTTCACATTTGGGTTATATTGCTCTCAATTGATAGGATTGCTCTGTTCCAAGCTAAAGAGATGAAAGATTATTACTAGAAAACAGTGTTCTTCATACTGTTATATAAGGGCATTGATCCAATAACAAATGGAGAGTTAAGTTCATTTCAATCCTGAAAACTCTGCAGACAAAACCCAATATGAAGTAGAGGAGTTCTTAACCTTTGCATCACAGACCCCTTTGGCAGTCTGGTAAATCCTATGGATTCCCTTTTCAGAATAAAGCTTTTAAATGCACAAAGTAAACCAGTTCTGTTGGGGGGAAAAAAAATTTGTGTCTCCACCTTTAAGTTCACAGGTCCTCTGAAATCTGTTCTTGGATCCTTAGTAGGGTATGTAGATTCCAAGTTAAGAACCTGAAAACCCTACTTGAAAAATTCAGTATCCCATGTAGACGAAATTAACTATGTAACTAGAAGTCTAGTAACTTAGTGTGAAACATGTTCTGAAGACCAGTTTGTTACAAAAACATTGATTAAAGACTGAAAAGACAACCTTTAGGAAACTACTCATGGAACTATAACATCACTATTATTAAAGTGAACATTATTGAGGACCATTATAAACTGATGAAGAATGAAATGAGCAAAACCAAGGGAACAGTTTACACAATAATAACGCTAAGACAAATTATACTGAAAGCTGTAAGAACTATGAGCAATGCAAGCTAAAGCGACAAAATCTTTAAAGGAGGAAACAATCATTAAATCCATTATAGTTCTGGGAAATTGATCCAATAGCCAGTTCATGTTAGAGTGCTGTCCATGCAAGTAAAATACAATATAATCTTTAGGAACCTAGGCTTGTAATTAGTCATTTGGTACCTTCCTTGAATAAAAGTATCAAATATAACAACCACAATAATAAATTAGTAAGATAAGCGCACTGATTCATTGTTGGTAGAGCTGTGGATAAATACAACCGTTTCGGAAAGCAGTTTAGAATATGCAAATAAAGTGACTAAATGTCTGTGTCTTTTTTGTTTTTCCTTTTTCCTTTTTGGTGAGGCGGTAAGGGTTAAGTGGCTTGCCCAGGCCACTTAGTAAGGCCAGCTAGTAAGTGTCAAGCTTCTTGTCTTTAACTTAGAGGTTCTGTTATTGGGCTTATATTCCAAGGAGGCCAATAAGAAGAAAGTCCCATATACACCAAAATATTTATACCAGGATTTTTTTGTGACAGCAAAGAATTGGAAATAAAGCAGATGCCCATTGATTGTGGAATGGCTAACCAAATTGTGGCACATGAATAGAATGGAGCGTTGTGTTCCATTTATATGTGCCATAAGAAGTGATGAATACAGAGAAGCATGAAAAGATCTACGTGAACTGGTGCTGAGTGAGGTAAGCAGAGCCAAGAAAACAGTATACACAACGACTACAATATAAACGGAAAGAATAGCCTCATACCAACACAAAAGTAAATGTTGCAAAGTCATAACTAAGAAGCATGGCTTGAAGAAGAGATATGAGAAGGCACCCCCACTCTACCCCTTTGAAGAGGGGGGAGGTCCACAAGTGCAGAACCTTGTACGTACTTTCAGACTTTTTCCATGTATTGATCACTTGTGCTGATTTTCCTCCTCTTTTTCTTTTTTAATTCCCACCTCTGAAAATGCTATTTGTTACATGAGATAGCTATCTGGGTAAGGATGGCAGGACAGATACTGAAGAGAACTGATAACATGAAAAACAAAAGACATCAATAAAAGTTTATTTGTAAAAGGTTTATATCAGGAGTGCAAGGATTGTTAAACATAAGGAAAATAATCACCATTATTAATCATATTAAAAACAAAACATCCCAAACCACATGATTATCTGAATAAATGCAAAAAGAAGCTTTTGACAAAGTACAAACTCATTTTACAAAAAACAAAAACAACAACAAAAAAACCCTTCAAAGTATAGGCAGAGAGTAGGCAAGGATACCCACTGTTATTTGATATATTTCTGGAAATGATAGAAATAGCAATAAGACTTTAAAAAATCACACACAAGTATCAAAAAACAAAAATAAGCATCATATGTCATGAGTATACACTTGAATTTTTCCCAGTAAATATAGGAGTAAAGCAAGAATTTATAGAGGACAGCTAGGTGGCACAGTGGGTAGAGTGCCAGGCCTGGAGTCAGGAAGACCTGACTTCAAATCAGGCCTCAGACACTTACTGTGTGACCCTGGGCAAGTCACTTCACCCTGAGTTCACACTCAGTTTTCTCATCTGTAAAATGAGCTGGAGAAGGAAATGGCAAACCAGTCCAGTATCTTTGCCAAGAAAACTCCAAATCAGTGCCACGAGTAGTCGGACAAGACTGAAACAACTGAACAACAACACAAAAGTAAGGATGCCCACTCTTTTAATACATTTGTGGATATGGTAGGAATAGCAGTAAGACAAGAGAAAGAAATTAAGGACATAAAGTTAAGTGAAGAGGTAAAACTATCCCTACTTGCTGATGGATTACTTAGAAAATCCTGGGGAGTCAGCAGTGATGTTCATTGAGACAGTAAGCTCAGCAAAGTTGCAGGCTGCAGAGCAAACTACAAAATCAACAGCATTTTGATACAGTAATAGCAAGTTGCAAGAGGCAAGCATGAAAAAGGAAGCAAATTTCATTCAGAATTACCATAAGATACAGAAAATATGTGGGGATTGATCTATCAAACCACACAAAATAAGCATAGGCATTCAACTACAAAGTGCTCCTTAAAGAAATAAGAAACGATTTCAAATAGAGGAAAGACCAATCATTACTCCTTCTGGGCCCTGCCTATAGCATCGAAGTTACAAAGGGATAGTTGAGATGTCAAACATGGGCCATATGTCCCCAGTAACACTCTGGTGTGTTTCCAGAACCAGATCAAAATGTAATTGGGTAATATTTAACAAAGTAAATAAAAATAGGATAGAACATAGATAATGTTAATATGTGGTTTTCCAAGTCAATATGCAGCCCACAGAGATCATTATATATGATTTAATGACCCTGTTTCTATTTGTTTGACACCACTGTTTTACAGAACTCTATAAAATAAATCTCCATTTTACAGATGAGGAAACTGAGGTAAATGAAGGGTTAAATGACTTGTCCAGGATCACACAGCTAGTGAATGTCTAAGGTGGAATTTGAACTCAGGTCTTCCTGACTCCAGGCCTAGAGCTCTATCCACTGTGTAACTTAGCTGCTCATGTCTATCAACTCTTGTATGCCATACCGGCTCACTAGCAGTAAGGAAAATAGAACTTACTCTGACGGGGCGTTCCCAGTATCCCCAAGGAAAGAAGCAATTTTATTTATCAGATGCTTTGTAGCTCCAGTGATCTTGGCTCTCCATCTTCACTCTCAGCTTCTCAGTTTCTTTACCTCTGAAATGGTAGAGTTTGACACCTCTGAGGCTCTTTTCAGTTCTAAATCGTATTATCCTAAGATCTAGGAATCAATGATATCCCCTTTTCATGTACTGTAATAACTTTCAAAAAGCCGACCACAGACATGTCCGACTGAAGAGGCCCCAGTGGGGGCGACCTCGCACCTGCGATGGGAAGGGGGAAAGGCAGTGGTCCCAAGAGTGTGCTCTTGGAAGAAATTACCAGTCATTCTTCTGAAGTAGGAGCTTTCTGTTTGAGGGATACTCTTGGTCCCACTTTTCCTTATCTTGCTCTGTAGGAGTTTCCAACTGGAATTTAGATTTGTTGGATTCTGAAATGGGTCATTGAAAATAGTAATTTGCTTTCATTTCTTTAAGAAGCCATAACCATACATAGTTTGACTGGAGCTTTGCCCAGTGACACAGAGATTAAATTACTTACTTGGGGAATAGAAAAGTGGTCTTACGGTTAGAAAAAACTGGGTTTATGGTTTGCCTTTGATAAAGAGTAGCTGTGTGAACCTGGACAAGTCTCTTACATTCTCTGTCTCAGGTAATTAAGGCTATAAGTAATAAAAGAAATATTGATAGAGGGAGCTCCCTACAGAGATAAAATTGTAATCTTGGACCAAAAATAAAAGTGGGGAGGGGGAGGCTTTAGTAGGGAGTGGGTGGATTCAATACTGCAAAAAATAACTAGTATTTATATAGGACTCTAAGGTTTGCAACCTGCTTTATAAATATTATCTCATTGGATCCTTACAATAATTTTAGAAAGTAGGTGCTAATTATGCCCTGGAAACCTAATGCACTGATTCTAATGTCTGTGTTTCTTGCAAAATCGTCTGGGCAATAATCCCTGGAGACATACAAGTTAAAAAAAAAATTACTTTTGGTGACTTGTAACCTTTTTCATTGCACATAAATTTCAGGCTTTTAAAGGCAATAATTATCATATTTTGAAATTTCCAATTATTTGAACTAGCCCAGAAAGTACCAAGCTACTTATTTTATCTCTTCAGGCATAGAAGCTTTTAAAATTTAATGTCCGGGTATCTAAGGTTGAATACATAAGGTCATCTAACTAGGGGATCTTAGTCTTTTTTTGTGTCACGGATGCCATTGGCAATCTAGTGAAGGCTGTGAGTCTCTTCTCCAGATAATGTTTTGTAGCCAACACTCATAATTAAAGGAAATGCTAAGTTTCAGTCAGAAGTTAGTAAAAATAAAAGCCTATTTTTTTCATCCACATTCTTGAAACCTCCAAAATCTATACATGGTTTCCTATGGACTCTTCCTTAAAAATCCCTGGTTTGGATGGAGTGATGAGGAGAATGAAGTGTGGGTGTCACTACTTGGAAGGCAATTGAGGGATGAGGTTGAGTTGGGAATGATGGTGTGTAGGGATGTGTCAGGACCATGTCAGGAACGGGCCAGTAGGGAAAGGCAGAGTCCGGCACGGGGGGAGAGGATGCTGCCAAGTTGCTCAGAGGGGCAGTTTAACAGTTAACAATCCAGAAGCCAAGGTCAGCTGATGGAGCAGTGTCACTCCGGGTTCTAGGGATAGCTGACAAGTAAGCTATTTTGCTGAGGAAGGGATCTCCTGAGCCCCACAGTCCGCATTGAGAGTGTGTGGGGGAAGCTGCCAGTTGCCAAATGAAATCTGAAACCTGGGACTGTTTGAGGACTGGCCCTGCTCAGTTGTTCCAATGTCTCATACTGTATATTTACTCATTCACACACAATCACTCTTTTTAACTTCTTGGACAATTCTTTGCATGACTGCTAGGATTTCGCAGCTACATGTGCTGGACTGCTGAGCGTCTGGGTTGAAGCGGCAGAGACTCTGTTGTGGATGATTTGAGTTTTCTTGGCTGAAACAAGAAAGGAAAGAAGAGAAGAGGGGAGAGTGAAGGAACTGGGGGCGAGGGGGACCCGACACAATTGTTACTGCCGTGACAGCTGTTTTGGATTTCTTTGGGGAATTGCTGGTATGCAGTGACCAAGTTCATGGAATGAAGACTTCCTCCTGTTGGGATAATTAAAAGGGCTTCGTTTCTTTCCACTTGACCTGGCAGTTCCCTTCTGTAGCAGCGCGGCACTTGGAAGCAGGGTATGTGCACCAAGAATTGTGTCTGTGCGGGGAGGACAGGGGGGAAAAAGTCTGTGGATAAGGCAGACATTCTCCTGGATCACAATCCATGATGATGCAGGGGAAGGGGGGAACCAACAGGAAGTCCCTTCTGCTATACTCTTTAAAAATCGTTTCCAAACTTTGAAGCCATGTTCCTTTTCAATTTTACAGGGATAAAAAATAGCGCAATAGCTGCTGTGGATTACTGGTTTTGGAAAATAGCGGTATATGAATCAAAGTGGTTCTCTCTATTCCAGTTTTCACTAGTGTGCAGGGTAATATTTTCCAAGATAATGGACACACAGGGTGGAATTTATAATAAGGATTTTTATTGTAATCCCAAAAGATTTAAGGTATCTTTGGTGAATTTTAAAGCCACCCAAGAGATTTTGTGTAAAGATTTTTTTTAATGACTCTGTTCTGGGTAGTAGCAAATATTTTTCCTCATCTCCAATGAGACTGATACATAATACATTCTAAGTTTTGAGGATATCTGAAAAAATAACTTTTCAAGTCTCTAAATAGAGAAATAGATATTATTATTGTTATGGATTCTTTAAAGATATTGTGTTTTCATATTCAATCAGAAGTCAAGAATATGACTCTTTTGAAATGTGTGCTTTTTTTTTCTTTTTTCCACAGATGCCTTTTGTTTTTACATCACATTTAATTCTAGATATATTCCTCCCCCTCTGCTAACCCAGTAAGCCATCCCTTGTAACACAGACTTAAAAATGAAAGATCAGAAAAATGAACAAATACTTGATTTTATTTAACAGCATATATAGTATATTTTACCCCCATAGTTAATCATCTTCAAGCAAGGCAGGGAAGTGCATTTTTCTCAACTATTCCTGGTGTCAAGCTCGGTGGCTATAATTACATAGCATTCAGTTTCATCTTGTTTTTCCATTTATTTTGTTATAGCCTTTGTGTATGTTATTCTTCCGGCTCTGCTCACTGTCCTCTTTGTCATATTATAAAGTTTTCTATATTTCTCTGAAGTCTTCGTAGTTTTTTTTTTCTTAAAGTATAGTTCTAGTGCATTACATTTATGTACCACAATTTCTTGACTTATTTCCCAGTTCATGGTCACCTACTTGGTTTCCCATTCTTTGCTACCACAAAAGTACTGCTATTAATGTTTTTATCTATATGAGATTCTGTTTTTACCTCTTTGGGGTATAAACTTAGCAATAAAGTCTGTGTTAAAAGATAAGGGGATTTTAGTTATTTTTTTTAGTATAATTTCAGATTGCTTTCCAGAATGAATAGATTATTGCTTTCCAGGATAGCTCCATCAACAATGGATTAAATTGCCTGTCTTCCCATGGCCCCTTCAACATTGGCCATTTCTATATTTTCTTTTTTTCCATTTAACTGGGGTGAGGTGAAACCTTAGAGTTGTTTGATTGGAATTTCTCTTTTTATTAGTGATTTGGAATAGTCATGCACAGTTACTAACAATTTGCCATTCTTTTGAGAACTGTTCGTATCTTTTGAGTACTTTATTAGAGAATAATTCTTGGTCTTATATATTTATGTTAACTCCATATTTATCTGAGACCTTAGACCCAATAAAATCTGATGATGCTCATTTGGAATAATGCTTCCTTTGAATTGAGATATGATTACTACAACATTTTCAGTTGTAATCTTAGTTTGAGTTTTTTTATTTGGAAATAATACATCACTTTATCTAAGTTTAAAAGAGAAAATCATATTAAAACTTTGAAATACAAGGGTAAAAAACTCCAAAGTAGAAGTAAATGTGGTTGTGAAGCTCCAATTGGAATCTTAGAGTTTGTCATAGAGGACAGGAAGACAGGAAGTGTTCTACTCATCATCCACAGTTTGGGGGAGCAGATTTCAAAGCCTTTAGGGAAAGGGTTGAGTTCTGTGGACTAAAAGTTCTATAGGGAAAGTCAAACCAGAAGTTATAGGAACCCTCTGTAAATGAAATGCCAAAGATAAACAGGAAAGTATTTCAGATAAAGAATAAAAAAGATGGATGTGGGTATAAAATGAACTCACCAAAGATGTCAGATTTTTAACAGGGAGGATGAACACAAAAATGTGGCAGGGTCCTATGGCAAAGCTAATGCTGATGAGGAAAATAAGAATAACTTTAAAAGTGTTGTTGCTTTTTAAATTACATTGGGGGAAGTATGAGACTGAAAGAAGATAGAGAACTGCTGTTGGGGCGGATGGTACAATGGTGTCTGAAGTCAGACAACAGTTCATCTTTGATTTCTGTTTTCTCTGCCAAGGAGAATGATCTTTGGACTGGAAAAGATGGAAGAAAATGACTAAGAGAGTTTACACTAAAGATAAAAAGGAAATAAGAGGGCATCCTTAGTGCTTTTCATGAGTCCTAGACATGTGACCCCAATCACTACATCTTTGGGAGTAAAAGGAACTGATGGATTGTAATAACTAAACTATTCCCAGTTATTTTTGCAAGATCATAAACAATGGGAATGTTATTGCAGGATTGGAGATGGGCACGTGATGCCTTCATTATCTTGTTTTTACAATTCAGTTTTATTTTATTTTCAGTTCTGAATTCTCTCCCTCCCACCTCCACCTCCCCCACCTATTTAGAAGGCAAGAAAAACAAAACTCATACAAATATGTATGGTCATACAAATTTCTACATTAGCCATGTCCAAAAAAATGCTCTACAGGTAAATAACATGTTTCATTATGTTCTTTAAATTTTTTTTGTACATATGGATCCTTTTCCTCTTTCTTTGATCTGTGGGAGATAGACCTAGTAGTGGTATTTCTGTGTCAAACTTTTAACAGTTTTGGGGGGCATATTTCCAAATTGCTTTCTAGCATGGCTAGACCAGTTCACAGCTTCACTAACAGTGCATTGATGTACCTATTTCCTCCCAGCCCCCTCAGCATTTCTTATTTTCCTTTTTTTTTTTTTTTTTTGGCAATTTGCAGTATTTCTGAGTGGTTTTAATCTGCATTTTTCTAATTATTAGTGATTTAGAGCATTTTTTCACATGGCTATTGATAGCTTAGATTTCTTCCTCTGAAAACTGCCTATTCATATCCTTTGACTATTTATCAATTGGGGAATGGATGCCCTGGTTTTCAAAAATGGTAAGAGAGTGTAGGTTTCCTACTGTACCCTCTCCTCATGAAGAGAGGCCTACGAGATTGACTTTATTGGTAAAATTCTAGAACACATTACAAATGAGTTGAATGAAAAAAATTATTAATTGTATGTTCATCGAACTGTGCTAAGTGCTGAGGATATGAATACAAAAATGAAAAGGGGTCTTGCCCTCAAAGAGATTATTTTCTAATGGGGGAGACAATGCATGTGGGAGAGTGATGGCAAGGGTGGAGTATTTTGGTTTGGAAAGTTTTGGGGCTACTAAAGTATAGCCAAAGGGGAAACAGAACAACACGTCTAAAACTGGAAAGCAAACAGATTTTTAGGGAGCATATAGAAAAAGAAGCAAAGATCACAAAATGCCAAAATGGCTTTTCCAAGAAAAGGTGATGCCACCTAATGTCATTTACTTATTTATTTTTAAAGAGTTTCTAGATTGTAGTTTCTAGATTGTTAATAGTTTGCTAGATTTTTACCTGCATATAAGAAAAACACCTAATAATGGTCTGGTATAATCTTTGTTGAAAACATGGAGGGAGACACGTGGATAATATAATATAATATGATATGAAGATAATATAGTTAGATTTAGAACTAGTTCCATGACCAGATCCAAAGAATAGTCATTCATGGCTTGATATTCCTCCTTTCCTCTCTCCTTCTGGGTGTTCCCACCAGAATTCAATAGTTAATATATTTTTTAAAAAAAAACAGCACCTCATTTTATTGAACAATTCAATATTTTCTTTCAATTTAGTTAAGCTCTTTTTGTTAAGCTGTTGATTTTAAGAATTTCTATTTTGATGTTTAGTGGGGGGGTTGATTTATTGCTTTTCTAGATTTTTTAAATTGCATTCCTCTTTCACTAATCTGTTTTTCCTCGGTAAAAATATTTAGAGAGATACATATTCTCCTCAGCACTGCTTTACCAGCATCCCAAAAGTTTTAGTATATTGTCTCATTTGTTGTTATTTCTTTGATGAAATTTTTTATTCCTTTGATGAAATTATCTATTTTTTCTGTGATTTGTTGTTTGACTAAAATCTTTAGAGTTAGAATTTGAATTAAAGATCCTTTTTATTAATTATAATTTTATTGTATTATGATAAGTAAAGTATACATTTTTTTTCTTTTCTACATTTGGTGTAGTCTATTTTTGTAAAGGTGCCATGAATAGCTAAGATGTATATGCATGTTCCTTTCTATTCTCATTCAATATCTGTAAAAGATTAATCGTGTTTAATTTCTCTAAAATTCTCTTCAGGTCCTTACCTTTTTTCTTTTTTATATATGTAGTATGTCTATTTCTGAAAGAATACATTCAGATCTTCAACTATTAAATTTTCTATTTCTCCCTGCAATTCAATTAATTTATGTTAGGTACTTAGTACTGTGTGGTACTATGAAATTCAATGCATATATACATATATATATATATAAAGTATTGATATTATTTTACTGTTTTTAGTGCCTTTCAGAATAATATAGTATCTCTGTTTGTCCCTTTTAATCGTGCCTAGTTTTACTATTTCATTCTCTAAGGTCATGATTTCCTGAAGCTTAATAAATTATTTTCTAGCCCCTAAGTGTAATTCTCAGATATGTTTCTTGTAAACAAATTGTTGTATTTTTCTTCCTGCTTTTCCACTCTATTTTATGGTTGAGTTCATTCTTTTGCTTCTGTTCTTATGACTGTAAATTGTGTTTTTCTACCCTCATATCCTCTTATATTGTTTCTTCTGTTAGCAGTGTACCACTATAGTTGAAGGTGGTGAAAGAGAATGAACAAAAAACCTGGCAGCTTTTACTATAAATAGAAGCTCTTGGAATACAATATTCCTATTCC